GAAGAGTGTGTGTGCGTGTGTATATGTAAAAAGAGAGAGAGGCAGAGACAGAGAGATATTTATCTCAAGGAAATGGCTCAAGCGGTTGTAGAGGCTGGCAAGTTCCAAGTCTGTGGGTCAGGCATCAGGCTGGAAGCTTCTACTGACTCACGTAGCTGTACAGGCTGATGAACCCAAGATCTGCAGGTCACACAGGCTGTGACTCCCAAGACTGGTCGGCAATACAGCAGGCTGCTGGCTCAAGTACCAAGAACTGGAGGTCAGATGACAAGCCGGATGCAGGATCCGGAGTGAGCTTTGCCAGAACATCCATATATACTGGATGCAGGCCACACCTCCAAGGAAACTCCCTTTACAACTGATTGGCTGATCACATCAGATCACATCATGGAAGTGATTACATTATATCACAAAATGGAGGATAATTATCATTACACTAACTACCAAATTACATCATCACATAACCACCAAACTACATCATTCCATAACCGCCAAACCACTGAGAATCATGGCCCAGCCAAGCTGACACACAGACTCAACCATCACACATACCATGTAACCACTTCTCAGATGAAACATTTCTCACATCCCAAAAGGATGTCTCATGCCTCCTCCAGTCAATAACCCCTAAAGGTTAACACTATTTGGTCTCTATCACCATTGATTAGTTTTGCCTGTTCTTGTATTTCATATTCAGTAAAACGTGCCAAAGCCAGAACCTGTGTAAGGCGGAAACCTGTCAGAGAAGGAAAATGCAAATATTTCCCACTAATAGAGAGCTCAATAGAGAAGTGGTAAGACTGTAAGGCCTGGAAAAACAAGGCAGTCCCATCGAGTTCCGGCTTTCACTGTACATGAAATCATACATTTTATACTCTTTTGTGTCTGATTATATTTTTCTCAACGCTATGCACGTGAGATTGAGCCATGTTTCTGCATTTAGTGGTAGTCCATTCATTTTCATTACTGTCTAGTATTCTCCTATGACTATACCACAACTTCTCTGTCCATTCACCTGCCGATGAACATTTGAGTTGTTTCTTGTTTGAGGCTATCACGAGCAAATCTGCTATGAACATTCTCGTACGTGTCCTTTGGAGGACATAACCACTCATTTCTGTCGGCCATCTACCGGGATACACAGACATATTTTCATGTCACCATACTATGAAAAAGTTTCATTTCTCAAGCTCCCTCACTCCCCACCAGATACGTATAGCATATTTTATCTGTTCCCACATTTACAATTTTTGCTTGAAAAAAAAATAAAACAGTGAAAACAATTTTTTTCTATTTTTTATTCTGAAGTAATTTCAGGCTTACTAACAGCTGCAAAAATAATAGAGAATTCCCACGTCCTTCATTCAGGTTCCCTGAATGTTAACATTTTATTATACCTGGATTTTCATGAATTCTAACATACGTGTGGGCGGGGGGTGTGTGAACACAAGATCGTGACACTGTTGAGGAGTACTGGGTAGTTATTTTGCAGGTGCCATCAATTTGGGTTTGTGTGACGTTTCCTTGTGATTAGACTCAGGTTTTGCTTTTTTGGCAGGAATGAATACACAGGTGTGACATTGTGTTCTCAGAACATCACATCAGGAGACACATGTCTTTAATCGCTTGCCTGAAGCGAAATTGCCAGGTTTCTCCACGGTAATATTATTATTCTTTCCCTTCGGAACCGATAAGTATCAATTATCAGTAATCGATAAGTATCTACGGGAAGACGCTCTGAGGTTACGTAAACACCGTTTCTCACCGTACTTTCACTCACTCGCTTTAGCAGCCACTGATGATTCCTGCCGGAAACAATTTTCACTGTGGTGGCTGAAAACTGGTTTTTTGTTTGTTTTTAATAGCTTCAAAGTTTTCGGGAATCCTACGGTGTTAACCGGTACTTCTAACTAACCAAACTAAAACCTGAAAGACCATTGGACGTTTACCATAAAAGCAACCCCAAAGCCGCCTTCAAAGATTAAAAAGATAAAAGTGGCAAACTGGATGTGGTGGCAGCCTTCTCAAGCAAAGTGCAGCCCTCCCCCGAAGGCCTAGGAGTCAGCCAAAGGAGGAGAGAACTCTGTCCTAGAAGTCTCCAGTTCTAGCCAAACCACCCCAAACAGTGTTAGCTGCAGGCTGAGAAAAGATGTTCTGCGTGCTCAGGGCATCTAATTCTAGAAGGGGCACAGAAGGTCGGCCGGAGTGGGGGGTGGGGTGGGGAGCAGGGGTCAAGTCCAGCGGGCAAGGATGTCTGTCCCCACATCTTCTCTGGGGACAAGGCAGAAGATGAACGTTGTCTTGTGCTCCCAGGAGCCCCTCACTCAGCTCTCTAGCACTCCCCACACTGGGCCCAGACAACTGACTGCTCCAGCTGACGTTCTGAATACGCCACCATTTAACTAACTAACGAGGCTTTCTTGGGGCAGAGTCACCAAGTGGGCTGACATACACACAGGTTCCAATTTATAAGTGGACTAAATTCCAAAAGTTCATTCTGCAAACCAAGCGGCAGAAATAAGGAAGACAGGGATTAGAAAGAAAAAAGGACCCCAGGTCAGCTCACAAAACCAATAACTCACAAAGTATCAGCACAGAGGACAGACAGCTGGGAATCGAACCTTTCACCCACAGGACGGTTCCTACCAGACAAAGACTTTGACTTAAGCACCAGGAAGACAACTTGCCTTGACTTGTCCAGTCCAGTTCAGCTCAGCAAACCCTGGCTCAGTATCACTTATGTGTCAAGCACTGGACTGAGCACCGTGACACCACAGATGAGTAAGAGATAGTCTCTGCCTCTGAGGAGCTTACAGAAGTGGGAGGTTTCTACCATGGAACAGACGCAGGGGCCACCAAGACCCCAGTGGATAGTGCAGCCGGGGCCTCGCGGTCCCCACTGGTGCATACAGACTGTCTGGCTGGTCAGGAGGCCGGCTCATGGCCAAGGCTGCCTGCTCAGTGGGCAGCTAAGTTGGGCTGCCACAGGGCAGGTTTCCCTCAAAGGTATTTATCTCCCAGGGGTTATGTGGAATTCCAACTTACCTGGAAAGAAGACACAGCCAGCAACTGTTTTTCCTTCTCCAATCCACAAAGTAAGTTTTTCATACTGGTGCCTCGTTTCCAGGCTTTTGCCAATCCCCTCCACCCCCACAGTCCTTGAAAACATACACATTTTCACCAAACCCGCTGCTGTCGATTCTGATTCATAGTGACCCTATAGGACAGAGTAGAACTGCCCCATGGGGCTTCCAAGGCTGTAAATCTTTATGGAAGCAGACTGCCATATCTTTCTCCCGCTGGTGGGTTTGAACCACTGATCTTTTGGTTAGCAGCCAAGCACTTTAACCACTGTACCACCAGGGCTCCTTAAACATTTTCACAGAGGAAAAAATTAACAGTAGAAGGCTGATAACCAAAAACCTAAAACCAGACCTGCTGCCTTTGAGTCAATTCCAACTCACAGTGACCCTATAAAACAGAGTAGAACTGCCCCATAGGTTTTCCAAGGAGCAGCTGGTAGATTCAAACCGCTGACCTTTTGGCCAGCAGCCGAGCTCTTAACCACTGCGCCACCAGGGCTCCAGAAGGCCGACAACAGGTAATGTTTTCTGCCTGAGTCTCCAACTCTGAAAACACACCTGTAATTATTTGACAAACTCAACAGTTTACTACCCACACATCATCAGAGCAAAGGTGCCATGGGCCTGCAAGGGCACCAAGATTTTCTGGGCTAAGACAAAAAAGCTGCCAAGGGAACACTGACCCAACACTGCGACACCATCGACTGGAGGACCCGGCCCAACTTCAGAGCTGTGAAAATGTGAGCGAAAAACACTTCCCAGAATCAACGAGAAATGACAATTCTGGCTAGCGTGACACTTCAAGCACTGTGTGCTAGGTTCCTGAGTGTGGGAGGGGACAAAACCAACGATGTCAGAATCCCCCTACAGTCAAATGGGGAGGAAGATACAGAAAAAGGCATTTTAGTAGACCACAGAAGATACCGCAAATTGAGCACGAGACTATTGCTGTAGCTGGCATAATAATCCACACTTTATTTTTCCCTTCTCGCTGTTCCTGCCAAGCCCCCAACAGCCAACCAACCAGGACCTGTTCTTTCTCAATTTCACTCCTGTTCTCTGCAGGATAAAGACTAACACCACCTGCAGCTCACCCACGCTCACTCCCCTCCAGTTCCACCTCCTAACACGTCCCTCTGAGCTGACTCCTGCCTCCCTGGCTTCGGCAAACCCAAGTCCAAGGCCTTTAACTTCGGGCTCCCCCCACTCTCCCTCGCTGTCTCCCAGTGTGGTTCCAACAGGTCAGCTCACCCTTCTGTTCCTCTCAAGAAAAACAAAATACTATGTCTTAATGTGCAGCTGTGAGGTCAAACAATGAGGGGATCCAAAACGCTCTGAGCCTGGACGTAAAAAGACCCACGATTAATTCAGAGTATTACAACCCTCCTGTTTTTAACACTTTTTCGAGATGCCTCATTCCTAACACCGTGCTTCATATATGTCCTTTGAAACAGATATTTAATATCCTAGGAGTGCTGGAATGCTGGCCAGGGCAGGAGCTCTGGTCAACAAGGAGTCAGCCTGCAGCTGGAAAGATGAAGCAGGATGAGTGGTATCCACAAAGAAAACCAGACCAGTCGCCAAAGTCATAAACTCCACATCCATCAAACCGGGCAGGGTCTGGGAACAGAAGACCTTTCTGGAAAGAAAAACTGCAGCTTTCCAAGACTGCAAGGTCAAGGAGGTCCCGGCTGGACCTAAGTCGTCAGACTTCATTGTCCTCACTCCTTCGACTCCCCAGAAACTCAATAAAATGGTTTGACCCCCACACCCTCAAAAAAAAAAAAAAAATGCAGGAACTATACCCTTTGTACCCGGGGAAGCATTTTAAAAACATACGCACACACACCCAATAAACCAAAACATAAACCAATCGCTGAATTAGTCTGAAGAAAGCTCCGCCCCAACAATGCAAACCATGCCTTGGTACGTGTGGCCCAAGGGAAGCAGGCCACCAGGTGCCCAGCTCGGACTAAGGCAGTGAGAGCGGCAGAGAGCAGCCAGGCAGCCGTGCGGGAGCAGGACGACGACACCAGCTTGGGACAGACAAGCAGCCCCAGCTGTGCCCCCCACGGGCCCTGACTGTTCCTCAGCCTCAGTTTCCAAGCATGTCAAACGGAGCTGGTGATCCCACCACCTGAGGTGCGGCTGGATGAAGGGTTGGGGGAGGCCTGCACACTGCAGCCCTCAGTACAAGGCGCGGGAAGGATAGGGGTCGGGGGCCAGAGAGGGGTGGCCCAAAGCGCGGCACAGGGCTCCGGAGATGGGGCCAGCTAAGGGGAAAGGGAGCAGAAGCAGGCGTCCGAGGAGCTGGGGCCAGGGGTGGACGGACACAGACCCGAGCCGAGCAGGGAAAGGCGCTGGCTCGTTCCTACCTTTAGGGCCGCAGCTGTAGAACCGCCGGGGCCGCCAACGTGCGCCCAATGTTGCACCTCCGCCGGCAACAGGCGTTTAGAGTCCCGGCCTCGTGGCAGAGACATGCGCGGAGCCACCAGCACCTCCAGGACGCCCTGCAGCCCGCAGACCGCCTTGCCGCGTGCGCACAGCCCGCCCACCCACGTGCGCCGCCACGTGTCTGGGAGCTGAGCATGCGCTCGCTGGAGGCGAGGTCTGCTGGACCACAATCATCAATAGCTTGCCTTGATGGAGCCGTTGGACTGTGCTGTACGCTTTACATGTATTAAACGACTAAAACCTTGTAACTTCCAGTTTACGGATGAGGACACTGGGGTATAAAGGGAAATGAATCACTTGTCAAGGTCACCGGGATAGAAGGGAGTTGCGTCAAGATTTTTGAACCCAGAACAGACGGTAGCTATTACAGTCGGCAGTCCAGTCTCTTGAAAAAAACCCAAACCAAACCCGCTGCTGTCCAGTTGATTCCAACTCATAGTAACCCTATAAAACAGAGTAGAACTGCCCCATAGAGTTTCCAAGGCTGTAATCTTTACGGAAGCAGACTGCCACATCTTTCTCCCTCGACAATCACTTCAGATCTTTCCAAAGGTGAGGCGTTACAGGTGTTCTGTGTTGAGAGCACTCTGCTAATAACCACCATCCCAGTGGTTAAGAGCTTGGCTGCTAACCAAAAGGTCAGTAGTTCAAATCCACCAGTCGCTCCTTGGAAACCCTATAGGGCAGTTCTACTCTGTCCTGTAGGGTTGTTATGAGTCGAAACTGACTCGATGGCACACAGCAACAACAACGTGATTATTATTCTCCACGTTTTGCTTTGAGAACAGATCTGTCCTGGGCATGTATCTATGTGTGTGAGTGTGTGCTTTTGGGGAAGTACCTGTGTTGATTTACATTCAACAAATGCTGGTTGAGCCCGATGCTCTGCCTGACAGAGACAGGTCATTGGCACACAATATCCCATCTTACCCCGACCAGTCCTGTCAGCAGTTAAAACCTATTCTCTACAGTTTGGGAGGGAGCCCTGATAGTGCAACGGTCAAGGGCTTGGCTGCTAACCGAAATGTGGGTGACTCCAACCCACCAGCTGCTCCACAGGAAAAAAGACCTGGTGATCTGCTTCTGTAAAGATTACAACCTGGAAGCTCAATGGGGCAGTTCTACCCTGCCCTGTAGGGTCGCTAGGGGTCGGAATCCACTTGAGGGCACACAATAACAACAGTGAGAGAACAGATGTTTAATCAGGCGTCAGGCATAATTAATCCATGATCTTCCTTATGGGTCTCCAGGCAGGAGGGTGGTGGAGCTAAGCTGAGCTGGCCAAAGCCACCCCTGGGACTCTGGGAGCACCTACTCTGGGGCGCAGGAGTGATGGGTGGAAAAGCGGTGTGCTAGTGTGTTGGCAGTGCCTTCCCAGCAACTATTCCTGCTTGACCTTTACTTCCTTTGAAGAATTCCTCTAGGAGTTTGGGCGGGTTAATTTACCTGACTTCAGATTGTCAAAAGGGATATTAAAAAGTTGAAAGTATCCCATCTGAACTTGTTACTGTCTTTTTTGGAGAACTCTTGCCCTTTTGAATGTTTTAAACATATGTTGTTGTTGTTAGGTGCCGTCAAGTCACTTCTGACTCATAGGGACCCTCTGTACTACAGAACGAAACACTGCCCGGTCCTGCGCCATGCTCACAATCGTTGTTATGCTTGAGCCCATTGTTGCAGCCACTGTGTCAGTCCGTCTCATTGAGGGTCTTCCTCTTTTTTGTTGACCCTCTACTTTACCAACCATGATGTCCTTCTCCAGGGATGGATCCCTCCTGACAACATGTCCAAAGTATGTAAGATGTAGTCTCGCCATCCTTGCTTCTAAGGAGCATTCTGGTTGTACTTCCTCCAAGACAGATTTGTTTGTACTTTTGGCAGTCCATGATATATTCAATATTCTTCACCAACACCACAATTCAAAAGCATCAATTCTTCTTCGGTCTTCCTTATTCATTGTCCAGCTTTCGCATGCGTATGATGTTACTGAAAATACCATGGCTTGGGTGAGGGGAACCTTAGTCTTCAAGGTGACATCTTTGCTTTTCAACACTTTAAAGAGGTCTTTTGTAGCAGATTTGCCCAGTGCAATGTGTCTTTTGATTTCTTGACTGCTGCTTCCATGGATGTTAATAGTGGATCCAAGTAAAATGAAATCCTTGACAACTTCAATCAACAGCTTGACAACAACAACTTGATCGACACTGTCAAAGATTAAACATATATAGATAGATCCATTTTAATGAGCACCATTTAAAAGTTTAATATAATGAGGCAGAGGCAGAGCCAACCCAGGCAAAACTGAGACTAATAACCTACAGGAGAATAACTCTTTTTCAGTGTACAAATTGCTTCCACAAACATTACCTCATCGGATTTTCACAGCAGGCTGGAGTGTGCTGTTGGATAGATAAATACCTGCTGCCGATTTGGCTCGGACTCATGGTGACCCTCCGTGAGACGGATTGGCACAACAGCCGCAATGAGGAACTCGAACATGGAGCCAATACTGAGGATGACGCAGGACCAGGCAAGACTCTCGGTAATGCCATGGCCCCCCTTTGCTCCCTCAGGCCCGGAGTGGTCAGAGCGTCCACTGTGGCCGTCCCTGGTCCTCACCATCCCCGTGGCTCCCTCAGCTCTGCCCTTGTAAACTGCTGTCCTTTACTAAGCATCTTCCATGTGGTTCAGTGGGCCCCTGATGACCTAGGAAAGTAGAAGCCCCATGGCTGGCCCAGCAGAGGCAGGGGAAGAGAGGTGGAAGGAGGGATGGAGGGAGAGGGAGAGGGGGAGAGGAAGAGGTGAATGTAGGGGAGAGGGGAATACCAGGATTTCCCAGGTGGATCTTCAGTTCCTCTTTGGAAGACTAAACGGGGCTCCAGAGGACTGGGGGATGGTGTCAGTGGTGAGACAGGTCTGGAAGGGTGGTAATCCATATTGTCTCCTGTGGGATGTGTCCTTTACTGGCCTGCTGGTTTACCAGATTCCTATTGTTTCTTTAGAAAAATAATTGTTTTTTTTTTAAATTAGAAACGTCCTTCATCCCTCCAAGCCCCAGCTCCAGCCAGGCCCCATGCTGACAGGAGTTCCAGGTGACCCATTTTGGATTTCCTGCATCTGCAGAAAAATGTTTTCTTTTACTCTGACCTGGCTTTTCAGTGGCAGCCCACTAGGGGGTCCCAGTTCCCCCGCAACCTGGTGGAGGTTCAGCCACTTCATCACATCTTTCTCAGGCCTCCTTAGGGGCCCTTCGGGGTCTGGTCTGTCCTTGCTGATTCAGGACCTAGGCAGGCCTGCGTTCGGCAGCTTCCTTCCCCCAGCGCCGGTGTGAGGAAGGACTGGCCCAACACGCACCTTATGAAGCGGTCAGGGTCTCTGTTGTCGAGTCAGAGCTCGGAGCTGCTCCTCTGGGTAACAGAAATGTAGCCAAAGTCCCTCTTTTGACACCCTTATTTCCAGTTAATGTGGTCTCTGCCCCAAATAAAAAAATACCCCCCCGCTCCCACTTTCTTGTGATAAATTCAGTCAGAAACCGCGTTTTGCTCTAGATTAGCGACCAGCCTTGGTCCGTGGGACGGACTCAGTACAATCTTCCTACTGTTCAGTCCCTGCAAACCAAAAGATAAACAATGCCCCCAAATCAGAAGATATAATAGCCGATTTTCAACATATTGATTTTATTTTTGAATAAATAATACATTTACGTAGTTAAACAACACTCAAAATAGTACAAAAGGTGTGCAGTGAAGTCTCACACCCACCCTTGCTCCCACGGGTCTCGTTCCCTCTGCCAGTTGCCGACCTTTTAGTTAGCAGCCAAGCTCCTCACTGGGCCCCCAGGGCTCCACAGCCGAGAGGTAGGTGTTATTCCCATTTTAATGAAAGTGAAACAACTCAGGCAGAAGGAGGTTAAGTAGTTTGCTGAGTGGCTGAGCCAGGCAGTTCACAGCAGAGGAAATGCAAATGGCCAGTAAACGTATGAAAAGATCTTCAACTGCTTCAGAGGTCCAGAAACTGAAGATGTGAATACTGCCAGCGCTAACAGCATCTCCTTCTTCACCCAGCAGGGGGCACACTTTGCAGAAGGCCGGTAACTCTCCGCATGTGGAAGTTGGTATTGGCTCTCATGTGCCCCTGCTGGTGGAAACATGAATTGCTCCAAACGTTTGGGAAAACGATCCGATAGAATTTGTTAAATGTTAAATGTGTGCACCCTTTGACTCTATCCTTCAGAAAATGAAAGCTCCAGAACCTAAGGATATATGCACATGGGCATATATTGTAGCATTGTTTGAGTGGCAAAAAACCTGGGAACAATGTGAATATTTACCAAGAGGGAAAATGATTGGGTAAATTATGTCACATTCAGAGTAGAGAATATTATGCAGCCATTATTGTGTGCTACCGAGTAGATTATATGTTAAATCTATATGTATTGTTTCTATATATATTAATTATATGTTAGATCTATATGTATCTATAAGTTATGTATTGATCTGGAGGGATGTCCACAAAATATTCTGTTAAGTGAAAAAAGCTACTTACTAATAATTTGCATAGTAGTTATATATTTTTGTATTTTATATATATTTGTGTATTTTTAAGAAACTTCCCATATATGTATATTTGTTTAAGGATGTTTATTTGAGCATAGGGCAGTGATTCTCAACCAAGAATGCTCCACCAGGTCCTTTTGAAAATATCTTCAATACCTGCATGGGACAAGGAGCCCTGGTGGTGCAATGGTTAGGTACTTGGCTGCTAACCGAAATGTTGGGGGTTTGAACCTACCAGCCCTTCCGCAGAAGGAAAGACCTGGTGATCTGCTCCTGTAAAGATGACAGCCTAGAAAACCCTATGGGGCAGTTCTGCTCTGCGTTATAGGATTGCTGACTCAGAATCGACTCGATGGCACAGAATAACAACCACCTGACAGGTAGGAATGCCTGGGACTTCAGTCCTCCCCAGTTGGCCTCAAATTAACCTTACTGGGCCAAGAGAAGTCCTACAAAAATGATTCTGTATATTCTTCCCAAGTAGTAAATTTACCTGACCCTGTTACATGCCACTGGGCGTAGTGATTAAGTGCTGCTGCTGCTAACTGAGAGGCTGGCAGTTGGACTCCACCAAGCGCTCCTTGGAAACTATGGGGCAGTTCTACTCTGACTCAGGACTAGGAGTCAGAATCGAGGCGACGGCAACGGGTTTTGTGTTTCATTATTATTATATGCCACAGCTTGGCTGCTAACCAAGAGGTCAGCAGTTCGAATCCACCAGCCCCTCCTTGGAAACCCTATAGGGTTGCTATGAGTCGGAACAGGCTCAACTGCAGGAGGTTTGGTTTGGAAGTTTTAAGTCATTCTGGGTCCAGCGATTGAGCACAACTATCAGGCAAGATGCACAGAAACTCCAATAGGATTGCCTCATTCTACACATAAGGAACTAAACAACTGGACCCAAATCCTAGCGTTAGTGACGTGGAAGCCCCAAGAGCGCACAACTGAGACCAAGGCGTGGCCGAACGTCCACAGCAACTCCCCGACGGCCACGCACACGGCGCCGAGCATGCGCAGCAGAGGGGGCAGAGATAGGCAGGGCTGGGCATGCGTAACCCTTCTCTACCCGACAAGTTCCGCGAAAGTCACGTGAGTGGGCAGGACCGCGGGCGGGGAGGAAGCAGAAAGTTGACAGGACTGGAAAATAAGCCCTCCCCCGGAAGTCCTTCCCGTCTTTGGCGCCCGTTTCCGGAAGTGTTGCTGCCTGTCGCGGGCGTTATGGCTTCAAGGTTACTTCGCGGAGCTGGAGCGCTGGCGGCTCAGGCCCTGAGGGCCCGCCGTCCCAATGGGGTCGCCGCCGTGCGCTCTATGGCGTCTGGAGGTACTCGGCCCGCCGGGCGCGCCAGGGACTAGCGCCGCTGAGCTCCCGGGGGGTGGGGGTGGGGGTGCTGGGGCAGCAAAGTGGGGCCGGCTGTGCAGCTCCTCGGGGTCCCAGTGACCACCCGACGGCCCCGAGTGGTTCAGGTCCCGCGGGAGTCTCCCTATGGTTTCGGGCCCTTACCGCCGCCCACCGAACTGACCCCGCCGCGGAAGAATCCTAAAAGGGGGTGCCGGCTGACCTTGGAGGGCAGGGCCTGCAATTGGAACTGTGGGGGTGCTTGGGCCGCCCTTCAAACCCATGCCCACGTCAAACTGGGTGACCAAGTAGGGCCCTTATTGGGCTGTGTTTAGAAAAAGTGTGAAAAAAATTGGCCTCGGGAGGAGGAGGAAGAAAAGATTCACCCAGTGCTGCCACTTTTGGGGATCATGACTCGACGGAGCTTAGAGACTTAGGGTTTCCTTTAGGAGCGTGTGAGCCCGCTGTGAGTATGCGTGTTCCCGTTTGATCATACTTCGCTGTGACTTCTTCTAGGTGGTGTACCAACTGACGACGAGCAGGCGACGGGGCTGGAGAGGGAGGTGCTGTTGGCTGCACGGAAAGGACTGGTGAGGAGAGACTTGTTTATCTTTTGTGCAGCTCATTGTCTTGGATGGGATCAGAGCAGTCTCTTCTCCGGAAGCATCTGATCCAAGAAACCTGGCTTGTGGGAACAGCCCGCTGAGCTCCTAGAGTGTAGGGGTCATTGGGCATAATGGCTCAATTCTTTTTTTTTTTTTTTTCTTAGGATCCATACAATATCCTGCCTCCAAAGGCAGCTGCAGGCACCAAGGAAGACCCTAACTTAGTTCCCTCCATCACCGACAAGCGAATAGTGGGCTGCATCTGTAAGTACCTTGGTTCTGTTTTCTTGTCCGTTTAATGTATTCTGCTATACAAGGTGCTTAACCATTTGCACCACCCGGGAACCCCAGAGGATGCCTGTAAGCTGTTTCAGGTCTTTTGTGTAAGTGTGTAAGTATAAAGGGAAGATGTATGTAAATAAGTTCTAAATGTCCAGGCCCTCTCGAGCCTCGTCATGCCTCAGTAGGTCATCCTTACTGCAAAGTGGCACGGAACATCAGTAATACCGGCTCACTGGAAGTGGAGCATGAACAAAGGGTGTTCGTTCAGAAAATATTTATCGTGTGCCCTCTGTGCCAGGAACCATTTCAGGTACTAGGGATACATATCAGAATGGCCCTGGTTTTGGGGTTCTACTCGACAAGGGAATTGTTAGAACCTGTAGTGACTCTGACATGAGGTCAGTATGTTCTTAGGTAAGCTGAGGGCCTCAGTTTCTTCATCTGAAGAATGGGGAAGAGAGCTTGAACTGATGTCTCAGACGTGAACCATCACTTTTATTTGGGTCTCAGGCTTTTGAGGAGAGAGTAACGTGGAGAGCCTCCCCTTCCAGGCCAGACAGCCTTGGATGCCGTTTCCCTTTCAGGTGAAGAAGACAACAGTGCCGTCATCTGGTTCTGGCTGCACAAAGGCGAGGCCCAGCGATGCCCAAGTTGTGGAACCCATTACAAGCTGGTGCCCCACCAGTTAGCCCATTGAGCCCCTGCACCCGCTCACGCTGAATGTGCTGTAAAGTTTTCTTCTTTCCAATAAAAACCAGCCGCTGTGTTGGCTCCTTCTCCCGATTGACTGGTCTTATTTCTTTCCTGTATTTTTGAGGAGACGTAGATGATTCTTACATCGTGAATAGCTGTGTATCCTAGCTTCCTGCACCCTTAAAATACCCAACCAGTACTGCTTGATTAACAGTAAAACGATGTTGATAATCATGAAATGCAGTGATTGGAACTGTGTGGTGGTGGTGGGGGAAGCATGGGCTGTGGAATCAAGCTGACCGGACTTAGAGTGTTGGCTCCGTCATTTAGCTGTGTCACTGTGCGCATGTTCTCTGAGGCTGGGTTACAGCTACCAGAAAAGACAAGTATCTTGTCAGGTGTCAGAAGCACTGTTAATACATGTAAAGAACCTGGCAAACAGTAGGTCCTGACAGAGAGACAGGGTGGTCTTGGGAGAAGAGTTTTGGGGGCCTTGAAGTCTTGGGGACCCAGGTTCAAAGCACAGTTTGTGGGGATACCATCAGCAAAACCCAGAATGTGGGACAATTCTGGAAACCAATAACTAAGTTTCTTCAACAAATAAATTGCAAGGAGGAAATAAAGGTAGGGAGAACCTATATGGTAAAACTTGAGAGAGACCAGCCAACAGCAATGTTAACTTCGTTTGGGTTTTGATATGAAAAAACAAAATTTGGAATAATTTGAATTCTGGATATTTGAAATTATGGATTTATTAGATTTTTTTGGTATGCTAATGGAATTAGATTTTTTTTTTTTTTTTATGCTTTAGACATGAAATATTTAAGGATAAAATGATAGGTCTGGATTAGGATCAAAATAGATGAGAGTGGTTTGGGGTATGGGTGAAACGAGTCGTAGTGAAGGTTGAGCGGTTGTGGCTGGATACACAAAGGTTCATTGTGTTATTCTACTTTTGTGTACATTTGAACTTTACCATAATAAGTCAAAAAATAAAGTTGGGGAGGGGAGAAACAAAAAAGCTCATTTCAGTCACTATAATTCTAACACCTTAAAACTCAAAAACTTTTCTTATTTATAAACCAGGAAGTGTCTTTCTGTTTTGTGTTGAGATTAGCCACAGAGGTAGCTTAGTTACCACCAGTTACTATTTTCACAAAATTAGTTCAAGCAGATCTTTTGTTTGAACTATGATGGTAGGAGGGTCAAAGAGAAAGCTCCTTTTCCCTAGTCTTGCCTTATCTCCTCTTAAAGATGCAGTCAAAGCTAGGACTTCCTTTACTTTCTTTTAGCTATTATCTGTGTTTCGAGGAAATGCCCTGAGCACTTACAATCTGCCATTCAAGACCTTTCCCATTGGGAAGGGGAGTATCTGGTCATCTATGATCCAATCCCTGCCACCCCCACTTTAACTGCTGTTCTAAATGAGAGTTTCCCCTCATGAAGACTGATGGCTCCACCAAGCCCTCCTGTCTGGCCTCCCACATTTCCCCATCCTTTCCCGCTGTCTCCCCTTTCCAATCCAAACTCTGCTGAGGGTGAGCTTTTAATTTCTCACACTGTTAATCCGGTTGGCCTGTGTTCTTCGTCATCTCCAAGCCCCCCTTGCTTCTTTTCTTCTGTCTTTTTAAAATGTTAACCAATTCTCCCCTAAAGACAGAAAAAGCTCCAGTACCTTTCCAGACTGTGGTAGGCAGAATTGGGCTCCCCCAAAATGTCCTAATCCCCAGAATTTGTGAATATGTTAGGTTACAGGCAAAGGGGAGTTAAGGTTGCAGGTGGATTTAAGGTTGGAGCTCTGGTGGCACAGTGGTTAAGAGTTTGGCTGCTAACCAAAAGGTCTGCAGTTCAAATCCACCAGCTGCTCCTTGGAAACACTATGGGGCAGTTCTGTGGTCCTATAGGGTTGCTATGAGTTGGAATCAATGCAATAGCAGTGGGTTCGGGTTAACCAGCTAATTTAAAATAGGGCGATTATCCTGGATTATCCATATGGGCCCAGTTATCATAACGGAGGCAGAAGTCAGAGGGAGACGTGGTTAGGGAAGAATGATCAGATATACAACCTTGCTGGCTTTGAAGATGGAGGAAGGGGCCATGAGCCAAGGAATGTGGGCAGCCTTTAGAAGCTGGAAAAGGCAAGAAAACAGATTCTCCCCTAGAGCCTCTAGAAAGGAATGTAGCCCTGCCGACACCTGAACTTTAGTCAGTGAGACCAGCGTTGGACTTCTAACCTACAGACCTGTAATGGATTTGTTGTTTTAAGACACCAAATTTGTGGTAATTGGCTATGGCAGCAATAGGAAACATACTCAAACCCACTGTGGCGGAGTTGATCATGACTCACAGTGACCCTACAGGACCAGGGCTTCAAACTAGTTCTTCCCTATTCAGTCATGGCTGAGGAAGCAAAACCGGAACAGACCCACATTTTTAAAATTTGGGTGAACCAGAATGCGAAAAATTACAGGTCGGAGCCCTGCCAGAAACATAATCTCCCTCTTGGAAAACAAGGGCAGCGTATGTGTTGCATAGCCACCAAATCTCTTGCCTGTTTAATTTTGAGCAGAGTTGGAGACCGGTGCCCCACTCAAAGATGGTGGCCAACCACACTGCTTTGTGTGTCGCTCTCCTCAGTCCTGCCAATAATCCAATCTCATGCATCAGGCTTCTGAAAGGGCTCGATACGCCTCTTCCCAGTATCCCATTCGAGGGCTTCAACTAGCATCTTTTCCTGTTCTGATTAGCGTTCTGGATCACCCAAATTGTAGAAATTCCAGTCTGTTCCAGTTTTGTTTCGTTGGCCATGGCTGAACTAGCTCAAAGCCCTGTGTAGGACAGAGTAGAACTGCCCTGTAGGGTTTCCAAGGCTGCAAATCTTTTTAGTTTTGATTTAGGTGAACTTTTACAGAGCAAATTAGTTTCTCATTAAACAGTTAATACACAAATTGTTTTGACATTGGTTGCCAACCCTGTGATGTGTCAACACTCTCCCCTGTTTCCGTTTATCCAGTTTTCCTGTCCCTTCCTGCCTTCTCATCTTTACTTTTGGGCCGGTGTGCCCATTAGTCTTGCACACATGATTGAACTATGAAGCATGTCCTTCACAAGTGTTATTGTTGGCCCTACAGACCTGTCTAATCTTTGACTGAAGGGTGAGCCTCAGGAGTCACTTCAGTAGAGCTAAAAGAGTGTCCGGGGGCCATACTCTTGAGGTTTCTCCAGTCTGTGTCAGACCAGCAAGCCTGGTCTTCTTTTTTTTCCTGTGAATTTGAATTTTACATTTTTCTCCTATTCTGTCCGGGACCCTCTATTGTGATCCCTGTCAAAGCAGTCAGTGGTGGTAACCGGGCACCATCTAGTTGTTCTGGACTCAGTCTGGTAGAGGCTGTAGTACTTATGGTCCATTAGTCCTTTGGACTAATCTTTCCCTTGTGTCTTTGGTCTTCTTCATTCTCCTTTGCTCCAGCCAGGATGGGACCAGTAGATGTATCTTAGATGGCCGCTCACAGGCTTTTAAGATCCCAGTCGCAACTCACCAGTCAGATGTATAAACAACATTTTCTTTATAGACTATGTTATGCCAATGGAGCTAGGTATCTCCCAAAACCATGGTCCCCAGCCCTCAGCCCAGTAGTTCAGTCTCTCAGGGCCAAGGCTATAAATCTTTACAAAGCAGACTGCCACATCTTTTTCCAGTGGAGCAGCTGGTAGGTTCCAACCACATATCTTTAGGTTTGCAGTCGAGTGCTTAACTACTGCTCCACTGAGGCTCCTTAGAAAACATACACAGACCAATAAACTCAACTTTTGCCCCTGGGTCAGTCATTCTCAATTTTAGCTGCGCATTAGAATCACCTAGGGAACTTTTCCAAATCCCAATGCTCAGGCCACACCTAGATCATTAAAGCAGAATCTCTGGGGGTGGGTCCAGGCGTCAGTAGTTAAAGTTCTCCAGGTGACTTCATAGAGCAGCTAAGGCTGAGAACCCCTGCCTCAGGCTAACAAAGTATGCTTGAGTGACTGACCTCTGCCTCTTGGTAATTGGGAGCCCTGGGGCAGAAAGAAAAAGTAATGCCTCTTGGCTCCATGGGTAGATGTGGACTCCATCTGAACCTCTGGCTATTTGGCAGCTTAGAAATTGGATTCCACTTCACCTCACCAAGGAAGAAGATAGGCTGTACTATATGGTATTTATTTATTAAACAATCTCAAACTTACAGAAGAGCTCCAAGTACAGAATGAACTTTTTTTTCCTAGAACGATTTGAAGAGTAAGTTGCTAGCCTGATGATGCCCATTATACTTGAGTACATCTATCTTACAAAGACATTATTATATTCAATATGACCATCAAAGTCAGGACATTAAGATTTCTACATTTCTACCATCTAATCTTCAGATCCCATCTAAGTTTTGCCAGGTATTCCAAAAATGTGCTTTACACAGCAAGCTCCAGTTCAGAATCACATGCTGTCTTTAGTTGTCATGTCTCTTTAGTCTCCTTCACTCTGGAATAGTTCCTCAGTTTCACCTTGACTTTCATGACCTTGGCACGTTTGAACATTACACCCACAATTTGGTTTTGTCTGATGTTTCCTCCTGATTAGATTCAGGTTATGCATCTTGGGCAGGAGTATCACAGAAGTGACATTGTGGTCTTCTCGGGAGGCACATGATGTCAATCTGTCCCATTACTGATGGGGTTTACATTGGCCACTTGATTAAGTTAACGTCTGCCAGGCTTCTCTGCTGTGAAGATACTCTTCAGTTATTAATAACTACCTTATGGGGCAGTACTTTGAAACCCATGCTTTCCCATTTCATTCTGTGGATTATAATCTGTTACTATCATTATTTTTGATGCTTAATTTGTTAAATTTGGCCAGTGGGAGCCTGTTCAAGCTGTCTCTTGGGGCCTTTTGAAATGTCCCTATTATTCTTTGAGCACCTCTTTTCTGGCACAGAATGTTCTAGGCTTATCTTCCAGGCTGTTAATAAACCCATGAGGTAGGTGCTGTTATTATCACCCCCTATATTAGAGATGGGGAAACCTAGGAACAGTGACATTTAAGTACCTTGCTCAGGATTGTGCAGTGATTCTATATTGTGGTGGCAGGATGGTAAACCCAGACCATTTGGCTCCAGAGTCTTTTTTTTTCTTTTGAAATAATTTTAGACTTACAGAGAAGTTGTAAAAATAGTTGAGTTCCTGTTTACCCTTCACCCAGTGTTCGCTGATGTCAGTATTTACATAACTACAGTACAATTAGTGAAACAGGAGATTCACACTGATACAGTACTATTAACTAACCAGCAGACTGTGTTTGGATTCTATCAGCTTTCCCACTAAGGTCCTTTTCCAACCCAGGATCCCACATTGCCCTGTAAGAGCTCTCTGGTCTCTAGTCTGTCAATCTCTCAGTCTTTTATGACCTTGACACTGTTGAGAACTGGTCTACTGACTTACAGAATGTCCTTCGGTTTGGGATTGTCTGCTGTTTACTCCTGGTTAGATTGAGGGTATGCAAGAAAACCACAGGCAAGTTCAGGCCCTTCTCAGAGCATCCTATCAAGAAATACACGATGCTCCTATGACTTATTACTAGAGATGCCGATTTTGATCATTTGATTAAGGTGGTGTCTACCAGGTTTCTCCACTATAAAGCTATTTTTCCTTTTCTAATTAATAAGTATCTTATGGGAAGATAGTTTGAGATGTGAATGTCCCAGTTTTTGGCCACTAATGTTTACATCCATTGATGAGTCTTGTGACTCCAACAATTAGTGTGGTTTGCCTAATGGTGATTTCCTTTTCTCATTAGTCCTTCCACATCTATTAACTGGAATTCTATTACGAGGAAGAGCTGTCCCTTCTCCCCGACATGTGTATTATTTGTTTACATCAGGATGGACTCATGAATATTTTATTCTGTAGCTTATATCCAATTACAGATCAGGTGCTCCTTCAAGTTGGTTCCTTTGTCCTTTTGATGAGCCCTCATCTTTTTTTGAACACTTCCTTATTTTATAGCACTGCGAGATATTCCAGGCTTATTTTGTATTTTTCCTGCAGCTCTGGAATTTCTCCAAGGAGCTCCGGTTCCTTTTATTTAATGGTATTTAGAAACCAAGATCAGGATACTGTATGTGCTCATTGCTACTGGGGTGTCACTGCTTCTAGGCCTGCTCAGTAGACAGAGTAAGGAAATATATTTACGCCAACACTCACACTCACACACAGATGTATATTTCAGTATTTATCTGTATATTAAAAATCATGAGTTCATACCGGTATCTCTGATTCCAATCCAACAGAAGTTCATTCTAGTCTTACCTAGAGCCTTGCTCATCTGTAACTTTTTTCCAGGTGAGAAACCTGGTGGAGCCTGAGCCAACATGCCATACTGCTGGAAAATAGGGAGGATGCTGCATTGTGCTTTGCCTCAAAGGATGGAATTTTGAGACACCAGGGGTAATTTCCAGCAAAAAAGAGCAGCAAGAGTACAGGCTAGCAGGCCAATCAGGGCATGATGATGCATAAGGCTAAAACAGGGAAGGGACAGATCCCAAATGCAACAACGTATATAGCTTATGAAGGTGATTTTACCAGTGTCACATCCATTAGTTATTTCACTGGACAGTGGAAAACCACTTGACATTTGGAGCAAGAAGTGGCAGAACCAAGGTTATCTGTGCTTTAGATCCAAGAGCAAAGGGGAGCATCGAGCTCTGGTCATGAGCTAGGGTAGTAGTGGTGGTCATGGAAAAGGATGGGTGGGAAAGGCACCGGAGAGCCACCAACAAAACTTGGCAACTGACGGAATGTGGAGGAAGTAAGGTGGAGTCAGAAGGTTCCAAACCTGTGTGGTTGGGAAAAATGGTACCATGAACAGAACCTGGAGGAAGAGCTGGTCTGGAGGGCCACACGAAGAGCTCTCTGTGTAAACTGTCTCCCCAGGGAGGGCAAGCACAGCCTAACTGCTCCGCAACCACAAAACTAAATGCCCGATGCAGAGCAGGCCTGACTCAGTATTCTTTTTCCTCCTACCTTATTTCCTTGCTTCTGGGCCCTCCCTAGTCCCCACCAATCCCAACTGCCAACACAGTTTTGATCACCATCCTCCCACGGCTAGCCACTCATCACTAGGACAGAGCTAAAAACCTCAAGGCCTTCCACGTACTGGCCCTGACCAACCTCTTTTGTTCTCATCTTCACTTACCTTACACTATAGCCAACAAGACCACCGATCCTTCCCTGCTGACTTGGCATCCCTTAGGCCTGTGCACTTCTCTCCAGCCCCAGGCACTTCCTTTAACTCTTATCTCTGCCTGGAATACCTTTTCCCTATCTGAGTAACCCCTCCTGAACCCTCACAAGTCAGCCTACCTGACCTGCTGAGTTAGGTGCCCTTCCTCCTGGCCCCCACAACTCTGTGATCAAACGGCCCATTTATCTTCCCCCCTGACATTTAAGTGTGGGGGCAAGGACTGTATCTTGTTTACTAGCACTGGGCCCACACTTGGCACCCTCCCAAACACACTGTAGGTGCTCAGATATTTAATGAAGAGCAGATACTTTCGAAACTCTCTCATTTCTCACTACTCCGCCTCTTGCCCTCTCTCCTTGCTTCTCTTTTAGAGCCCAGCTCGTCTCCATGGCCTTTGCTGTCCCTGCTTCCTCCTCCCCCTGTGCCCCTTACCTGCCCAGCTTGTCTGCACTGAAGCACTGGGGAGCCTGCATCATCAGTTGTTGCCATCTGCTAGCCTTAGCCACCTTCGAGCCGGGCACGAAGAGGTGCTCAAACAGAACGAAGACACGGGTGCACCGAGGCCCCGCCCTGCGGGAACGAGGCCTTGCCTGTCCTGCAGCCAGGCACATGAAGGCAGCCTGGTAGGGCTGAGCTCTCTGCTTTCCCTGGCACATTTTAACCAGGGGGTAACGAAGCTGGGGAATTCTGCTGCCAGGCTCAAAGCCCAGCCTCCTGGGGCCTCCTGTGCCACGTTACCCTGCCAACCACGGAAACCCAGAGTTGAGCTGAGTCAGTGCTGCTTTCTCTCCCGTCCTTTCTCTGTGGTCCCCAAGGATGGAGGAGCAAACAATAGCACAAAGAGCCACGAGAAAACAGCCACACAGCGGGCTTTGTCCAGAATTATTACTATAATAATGATTTACAAAAAGAATTTTTTTTTACAGGCAACTGTGTTAAATTATTGTACATTATCTGGGGGGACAGACGTGTAGAGGGTGGTGGGGTCCTGGCCACAAGGCAGTGAAGGCCTCTGTTTTGGAGTAGGTGGGAGAAGGAAATGCACCCCTCTCCAGGTCAGACTTCTGATTAAGTGGCTTCCCTTCAACAAATGAAGACCATTAACCCTTTCCTGTCCTGGGTACTGGGGTAAAGCAGAGGGAGCAGCAAGTCCATGACATGCTTTGCAGGGAGAGCGTGACAAGCTGCACCGGCCTGAACCCTGGGCACCCGCTGCCCTGGGTCCTCGCTGGGGACAGAAGACTGCCTGGTACTCAGCCCTACGCCAGGTCAGCCACCCCAGGAAGACCCAAGGACACAGGAGGCCAGTGTCAGGAATGGCTTAGGTGGGGCCCTCAAGGCCACACTGTCGGGCCAGGAAGGAGGAGCACAAGGAGCTCCGGACGCCATGAGACGCGGGCGTGTCGGGGGAGCTACTGCCCACCTCCTCCACCCCAATTCTGAGGGCAGTAACAGAGGTACCTGGACACCCGGCCCTGCCAGGGGAAATGGTGGCATTCGGGTGCCTGGTCTTGGAACGCAGAGCAGTCTCCACGAGGGTCAGAGCAAGGAACCACAGGCCTACTTGGCTCTGCTGAGGGGGGCACCCAGGACACCCCAAAGCTTGGCTCCTCTGTTCCGATGCTCCAGCTGAAGAATCCACCCATGAAGGGAAACGTTAACAGGGTATGTGCGTGTGACGGGCGGGCGGAGGGAGTGTGGCTGCACCACTTGCCGGGGGTTCAGGGCATGCAGGGCACCCTAAGCCTAGTATGTGTGCCCAGACCAGAAAGGGTTAAAGGCCCGGCTCCCCATTCCTCGCATTCCCCCCACAACCCCCTCATCCCCCCTACACCCTCCTCCGACACTAGAAGGTCTTGCGGTGAACAGCGCGGGAGCCGCCCTCTTCATATTCCTTTCTGGACACCCACATCTTCTTGAAAGTGTCCAGTGAGGCCAGGATGGAGCCGCTGAGGAGGGAGGGACCATTCTCATGGTCTGGGGTCTGAACCAGCTGCCCTCCCTGCACCCTCGGAGCTCCACTCCCTGTCCCTGTGAGGCCAGTCCTCCCACCTCCACCTGGCAGGGGCCAGCCCTGGGAGAGGTGTCCGGGGCACAATGCTCTCCTCCCCATGCCTGCCCTGGGGCCCCGCCTCACCCGATCCAGGTGGAATACAGCCGTTCCTGGGGAGCCGAGATCTAGAGGAGCGAGCGTCAACATAAGTGCCCCGTCCCCACACAGCAGCCACCCTTCTGGCCTTGGGGCCCTTCCCACAGGGGCCAGCATGGGACAGCAAGTGCCCCAGCTGGGGGAATGGGAGAAAGTGGATGGGGAGAAGCAGGGCTGGGCAGGCTGGGGCAAGAGGAGATGGGAGAGGTGGGTCTGGGGGCTGCCCAGCTCATGCCTGGCGGCAGCTCTCTGGAACCTCACCTTGATTTTGACGTCCTTCGGGGCGAGCTTCTTCACCTCACTTAGTAATCGGTCGCCGAAGCCTGTGAACACATGGCTGGCCGAGCCCATGGGCGACACCCTACCTCCTGGCCAACCGCCGGTGCCCCCAGCAGCTGCTGCCACCCTTCTCAACAGCTCTTTCTGGGACTGAGGGTATGGGTCAGCTGCCCGTGGCCGCAGGTGGGCCCGGCTTCCTCGGGGGCAAGGTGAGCTGAAGCCCCAGTCGCACCGCCTGCCCTGCTACACTCCTCCTCAGAGAACGCCCCGTGAGCCACAGCCACAACCATGGAAAGACCAATCAGGAGAAAGCTTTCACCACTTCTGCCTGTCAGACTGGCAGGGACCACAGGCACACAGTGCTGGGGAAACTCATCCGGAACTGCAGGGCCAGGGCACATCATCTCGGGAGGGAAATGCTGGCAATAGCCACCATCTGTCCGGGATACAAATCCCACTCCTCTGCAGTTCCACCAGCATGGGGATATTTTTTCGATCTACTCTCATCACGTGAAATGACATATATATAAGGACGTCCACTGCAGCATCTTAGCTATTAGAAATAATTACAGCTACCTCAAAAGCCATCAACACGACCCCATTCAAGGGTCCCTCCGTTCAGTAAAATACCACACGGCCATATAACAGAGTGAGCCCACTCAGTATAAACCAAAAGAGAAAGACCTTCAAGATGTACTGCTGAGCAGAGAAGATGTGGTGCAGAGCTGTGGAGCGCTCTGGTCTGAGTAAGACAGCAGGGGAACCCACACCTGTCTGTACTGCTGAACAGAGAATAGAACATGTGGTGCAGAGCTGTGAAGTGCTCTGGTCTGTGTAAGAGGAAGGGGAACCCACACCTGTTTGTACTGCTGAGCAGAGATATGTGGTGCAGAGCTGTGGAGTGCTCTGGTCTGTGTAAGAGGGAGGGGAACCCATACCTGTCTGTACGCACAGACTCGCTGAAACGACGCGTAGAATGAGTACCTCCTAAGGAAGAGGGGGCTTGGTGGCTGGAGACAGTGGTGGGAGACCTTTCACTCAATACATTTTAGAACTTGTATGAACATGTTGCTTGTTCACAAATTAAAAAAAAAATTCTACTCTTAAAAAAACAAGCTCCTTGAACACCAAAAACCCACTAGAAAGGGCCACGTCTCAGGCTCCGATAAGCGAGGCGTGGTCTCTGGGGCCCAGCTGCCGCTTGGCCTCCACAACCTGCCCCCTCGCCCCCGCCCCCAGACTGCAGTACCTTTGAAAAGGGTGGAGCCACCCGAGAGCACGATGTTGGCGAAGAGCGTCCGGCGGAGGTCCACGTCGGACTTGTGGACGGCGAAGGCCAGCACCTCATGGAGCCCCTCACTCTCATCCCCTACCAGGTCCGGCTGGAACAACAGCTCGGGGGCCCGGAATCGTGCGGGCCCCACCTTTGGAACACAAGATTGAGGCAGACGAGTTCTCCGAAGAAGCTAGGCTTCCTCCTCCTCCCAGCCCCCGACTCCCTGGGTCCTGGCACCACCAGGTGCCACCCCAGCACCAAGCCTGGTGACTCACGTCGAGCGTGCTGCCATCTGGCAAGGTGTACTGCACCTTCTCCGTCTCCAGAGCCTCATCCTTCTGCGGGTTGATGGACAGGTAGCAGGCTCGCTGCAGTGGGCAGGACACAACCCTCAGAAGGCCGCAGCCTGCAAACCCACACCCGGGCTCAGCCTCACACTGGGTCCACCGTCTCCCGCTCCCCGTTCCACACCTTCTTCGTGCTTCCCCGCCCCGAGTCACCTCTTTGATGGTCCGGACCACCTCAAACTCAGCGGAGGTGTGGAAGTCGACGCCTTCCTTGCGCAGCAGCAGCCGGAGGTACCGGGAGACGTCGCGGCCGGCAATGTCCACCCGTGTGATGGAGTGTGGCATGGCAAAGCCCTCGTAGATGGGGACGGCGTGAGTGACCCCGTCCCCTGAGTCTAAAACCACTCCCGTTGTGCGTCCTGTGGCGTACCTGTCACCAAGTCAGCATCCCCTCACCTCAGCCACCAAGGCACGGGGACCTCCTCACCCCTGGAAAGAGCCCCGGGACACCTCTGTTACCTAGTCTGCGCCATCTAGGGGCTCCCTAAAGGAGCAAGCACCACGAGGCTGTTCTGACAGAGAAGTCAGACAGCTGGTCACTGTCGCTGGGAGGACGGGGACTTCGGGGGCCAAACAGCAGGCCATTCCCAGGGCTGAGGGAGCACTCACAGGCTGAGCACGGCCTGCATGGAGATGAACAGGGCCGGCACGTTGAAGGTCTCAAAGAACACTTCTGCCGCCTTCTCCCGGTTCTTGCTGGGGTTGAGCGGAGCCTCCGTTAGGAGGACAGGATGCTACGAGAGATTGCAGAGGCGGGAACACATGCAGAGACGACACGCTGGACCCTAAAAGGAATTTTTCCAGAGAGCCAAAACCCTGGGCTGCAAGCATACGTAGCTGCAGCCTGCTATCCTCCCCAAGAGCCCCATCCAGTGATCTGCCAGCAGTTAATCTCCCAGAGGTCCAGCTCTCCGGAAAATTCTGCTGGTGGCCATGGAGCACGTGTACACATACACACAACCAACAGGCAACTGCCCCCTGAAAGCGCAGAGAGGAAACGTGAATGCCCCAAGTGGGAAGAAAGAACGGGGAGAGGGCACAGCCACACGAACACAGAGCCCGGCGGGGGGCCGCCTCACCTCCTCAGAGAAGGTCTGCAGCTGGTCCTTGGAGTAGACGTACTGCCAGATGCGCTCCATGTCATTCCAGTCGCGCACCACGCCGTGCTCCATGGGGTAGCGGATGGTCAGCAGCCCCCGGTGCTCCTGCGGGAGGGGTGGAGAGGCCAGATGGGGTGCCAAAGCCCTCACAAAGCAGCTGCCATCTGCCTTCTGGGAGCTGCCCCTTAATCTGCCCTTCAGTATAACCACCCACTGCCTATCGGACGTTGCCACGCTCTGCGGAGGGACCTGAACTCAGAGCCTCACCAGCTCCAACTGGCTGGGGACCAGCTGGGGTGGATGTGCTCCTCCCAGCCTACAGCCCCCCTTCACAGCCACCTCCCCTCTTCCTCTCCTGGCTGTGCTCCTGGGGCTTCCCCCGACTCTCTCCTCACACACTGCTCCAGTTAGCACCACCAGGGGACTCCTTGTGGCCCAGTCCAACATGGCCTCCTCCTGCGGCTCACCTACCACCCTCTGCCGCTCTCTTCCCAGCTCACCAGTCAATCCTTACCAGTCTCCCTCACAGACATGCTGCCTCCACCTGCCTTCCTCAGGGGGCCCCTTCTCCCTAAGCACACACCCTCTCACCCACAACTGCGGCTGCTACTGACACCATCTATCAAAAGTCCCATGTCTGCACCTTTCCAGACCCAGAACCATGTCCCCAACCCCTTCCACCCCATGCTGTGTTCCCCAGGTGGCTACGGTGCACCTGGCCCAGCTCGGCCTGCGACCCACGCCCCAGCTCCTCTCTGAGGGCCTGAGCCGGGCTGGGCAGCCTCCAGGCAGGCACCCAGGCTGAAGCGTGAGAGGAGGCCCTGTGCTTTCGTCCAGAGCCCTCAGGTCCAGCGGATTCTGGCTCTTAAAGCAGTTCCTTCCTCTGCAGCTTCTACAAAGACGTGAACTGGCCTAACCGGGCACCGCCTCCATCTCACAGACGGAGGGGACGTTTGCAGAGAGGAGGTGACGCGGTGCAGCAGGTCAGTGCTGGAGCATGAAGAGAAGGCCAGATGCGACACCCAGCAGATGGCCCGGAAGGACAGATGGCCAGGGCCCTCTCAGGGGTGCAGCTGGGACCACCAGCTCCTATGTGTATGAGGACCCCACACCCAGGAAAGGCAGGCTCCGCAGGTGTTACCTCTGCTTTTGGTCCAATGAAGAGGTCCCCCTCCAGGGCTCCAGCCATCACACGCACGTGCTTGGGGCGCCCGACACTGCAAGGACAGACACGGTCAGCGAGGTGGGGAGGGGGCCCGGCTGAGCTCCTGCCCAGTGGGGTATACGGGGCCTCTGGGGCCTGGGGCTGCAGAGGGGGCCTTGGCAGGGCAGGAAGCTCAGGGCAAGAAAACGGTGTCTCCTTCCCAGAGAGGACTGAGCGTCTGAGCTCCAGAATCCCAGCCCTTCATGGCTGGCCCAGTCCCGGCAGAGGGTCAGCCTTCATGGCTAGGACGACTCGGCCCCCGTGCTCCACTTGCGGGGTGTGGGGCTGCCACTACCTTCTGCAGACCAAGGGAGACGACCCAGGAGGTTGAGTCACGGCACCCTCGTGTGCCCCCCTCTGTCGATCCCGCCCCTTCCCACTGCCAGGGCCTCCAGAACAGATTCAGTTCTTGGAAACTGTAAGGTCTGATGAGCAATCATTCCAAAATTTGACCCAAGTTCCCCACACATTAACAGGACACTTGAATTACATACAATTGAGTTCAGAAAGGAAAGCTGAAGCCCTACTGGGTGCTGGCTCTGTCCTCAGACCGGGCTTGGGGTTCTTGCTGCAGCCAGCCACTTTGGGGGCCTTCAGATCCCCTTTATGCCACCAACTCAAAGCCTCCAGGATTCGGAAGAGGCACTCCTAAGGGAAATGTCCCCAGCGGGCTAGCATGGCCGAAGGAGCACTCTAGGCTGTTGTGTTTTGTTTTTTTAACCTCTCTCGTATTCCTGCCACTACTGGCATCACTCAGGGAAAGACCGCCTTGAGTGAACCGACACGTTTTCTAGAGTCTGCAAATAAAGCAGCCCTGGAGAAAACACTTGCAGGGAGGAGCGGTGTGCATCGAACTCCCCTCTCCTCCTCCTGGAGGTGAAGTCTTTCCTTCGGAGTTCTCTCTCTCCCATCGATTCTGGCTGCTGAAACCACGCCCTGTCCCTGGGGAATGCTGGCTGCTTCCATGCTCACTGGATCCAGAGGGGACCAAAATGAGACTCCAAAGAGGAAGGGGAGGCTCAGAGCGCTGTCTGCATGTCCTCACCCTTTCAGAGCCCTCAGCGGCTTCACCCTTACCGACCTGGTGTTGTCCCTTACAGGTGGGGGCCAGAGCTGGTTTCAGGAGACAGCTATTACACGGTGCTAGTGTTCTCCCAGCAGGCACAAAAAAGGGTAGGGCTGCTGCCCGAGCAACACTTACTAGTTTGGGAAACAGTATTTGGGAATCTGGTCTCCTGCAAAGCCAGCCTTGATCACTCCTGAGCCCTGCAAGGAAACACAACACTTAGCCACTGCCATTCCTCTCCAGACAAACGCAGGGCCTGATGAGGAGAGAGGTGGCCACCCCACAGGGCTGTGAGGAGCCAGAGACACTGCCTAGGGGGCACGATCATTTACAATGCACCAAGGTTCACAACTGGGGGCGACTCTGCCCCCCTCCAGGGGATATCTGGCAACGCCTGGAGACGCTTTTGGTTGTCAACGAGCAGGAGTGGGGGCAGGGAGTGCTACCAGAATCCAGCGGTAGAGACCAGGGATGCTACTCAACATCCTCCAATGCACGGGGCAGCTCTGCGAGACAGACCTACACCTCCTCTGCGCTCTAGGGCCAGTTCCCGTAAGGAGGACTTCACAGCAAAAGCCACTCCCCAAAGCCAGCCAGACACCCTCAGGGATGTTTTTCAACTGCTCCATCCCCTCCCCTCGCATTCAGGGACCACAGCAGACATCTCAGGGCCTGCTGGGAAGGTCACTGTGGGCACCAGGACAACAGGCACCTCTCCTCAAGTGGCTTCCCAAGAGACTGAAGGAGAACCTGGTCCTGCCACTGCTCTATCTGGAAGCCGGACTTAGGGTCCTAGAAGGAACCTAGCATCTAGAAACCTCCCACTCCATGAAGGAATCCGCTTTTCATCTCCTCTTCCTACTGATCTTCATCCCAACCCTCTGGGTCCGCAGTGCAGAAAGAAACATCCCCAAGTTACAGATGGGGAACCGGACCCCAGAGGGGTCAACAATTGTCCTGAAACTCAGGCTTGCTGGTAGCCTGAGTGCTTTATCTGCCCACCAAGAAAGGAAGTGGCCAGTTCCTTCCTGTCCCTGCTGGATGGCCTGACAACACAGCCCCAAACCCAGCTCCAGTCTCCTTACTAAACCTCACCTGCTGTGACTCAGGCCAGTCCACATGAGTGCCCTAAAGACGGCCATTCAGGGAACCCAGGATGCTCCTTAGAAGCAAGGATGGCGAGACTACGTCTCACTGACTTTGGACATGTTGTCAGGAGGGACTAGTCCCTAGAGAAGGACATCATGCTTGGTAAAGTAGAGGGTCAGTGAAAAAGAGGAAGACCCTCAACGAGATGGACTGACACCGTGGCTGCAACAATGGGCTTAAACATAACAATTGTGAGGGTGGCGCAGGACCACGCACTGCTGTACACAGGGTTGCTACGAGTGGGAACCGACTCGACGGTACCTAACAACAACAAAGAGGGTCATGAGGGAGAAGGGTTCCCAAAAGAGCAGAAGTGAGTTATTGAAAACGCCAAGGTTCACATCCCAGCCCTTATCTTCTTCCCATGTCGCAACCCTGTGGCCAGAAACCCTCCCAGGTAGCCTCCAAAAAACGGCAGCTGGGGGAGAAGGCCACCAGCTGCATCTTTCCTCGAAGGCTTACAATGACCCCAACCTGATTCTCGGTCCTGGCAAGCGTGGCCCTGAACCTTCTCCACTGCCACTCGGCTATGGGATTTCTGCAGGCAGACTCTAGGAGGGGACCCCAGTGGGCAGAGAGCAGCCGGGTGTCTGTGGATACGTGGGCTATACAGGATAACCTGCATTTTCTCCAGTCCCAGGAGGGGTGCGGCAGGGCCTGTGCACCTTGGAGATCCTGATATGGGGTGCAGCCTCCTAGAAAGTGCTTCCGTAGCGGTCACCAGGCCAACCCCTCCAAAACCTAACCAGTGCACAAGGGAAACTGCCACCCACTCCCATCAGGAGGGGCAGCCAGGGCCAGAGCCGGGGTCCGAGGGAGTGGTAATGGGTTAGGGTTAGTGGGGTCGGGCCTGCCCAGAGACCCCACTCTCAAGCGAGAAAAGTTAGGGGTGCGCCCCCAGGCCTGCCGCGCAGGTGCACCAGCTCGCCCAACACATGGAACCTCCGCCTCTCCTAAGCCTCCCCGCCCGGCTCCGGCAGGGCCCGGAGCAGAGCGACTCCGCGGCGCCGCGGGAAGCGGCCCAAGGCCGGGGCTACAGGGCCAGGTGGGCGCGCTGAAGACGAGCGAGACGGGCGGGGTCCCTCCCGGCGCCGCCTCCTCCCGGCCCCGGGCCTCACGTTGTCGATCACCACGGGTTGGTTGGCGATGATGTCGTAGGCCTCCATGGCCGGCCAGGCCGGCCCTGCCCAGCAGGCGGGCTGCAGGAGGAACCGGCAGGCGGACAGGCAGGCGGGAGGACAGCTGCCGTGGCAGCTTCAGACGCGGCGCCGCGCCCCTCCCGCCCCAAGCGCGCAGCCTACGCCAGCCCCGCGGGGCTTTCTCGGGGCGGCCCGGTGGCCAATCCCGTCCCACCTGGGCGGACTGTCGGCGCGCGCCCCGAGCGCCTGGGGGGAAGGGGCGGGGCCTCCTGGTGCCGGCGAGCCAATTGAAGCTGCCGGGGAAGAAAACGACCCGTTCGCTGTCACTGTAGGTTACGCCGCGTCGGGATGATGTCATGGCTCCACTCTTAAAGGGGACGTGGGCAGTAGAAACTGGAGCTGGGCTGGTTCGCGACCTCGGTCAGGATCTGACCGGCTGCGAGGCTGTCTGTCCAGGAAGACGTCTTTCTCGAGTCTCAACACCTCTGACCACGCTCCTTCGTGAACGCGCCCTCCTCGAGGATGCCCGCCTTGGCTGTTTAACGCAAAGCATTTCTTTATGCAGCACTGAGGAGTATCTTTTTCCTTGTAAAAATTGCACTTTCCTGGCAATTTGGTAGTTGGCGTTTATCGAGCACCTGTTGTGTGCCTGCGGGGCAGCTCTACCCGCTTTAGAAAGATTAAATGAAATCCTTGCACGGACTCTATGAGGTAGGTGGTATTGTTACTCCCGTTTACAGATGCGGGAACAGAGGAGCCTCCCTGGGGATCTTGTTAAAATGTAGACTCTGATTCAGTATATATGGGGTGGAAAGGCAACTTCTCAGCAGGGGTTCGAACCAGAATGAGCCGGTTCGAAGCCCCGATTCTAACGCACAGGTTCGTTTATGCTGATGGATCATAGAGTATGTATTCACTTGCATCTGACATCTATACATTAAGAAAAGGGACCAGTGTGTATCCATTAAAACAAGTGAGGGAGTTCCTTAAAAAGTTTAACACAGAATCACCACACGACCCAGCAAATCCACTCCTAGGTATATCCAGAAGAAGCAGGGACTCAAACATACTTGTATGCCAGTATTCAGAGTAGCATTATTTACAGTAGCCAAAAGGTGGAAACAATCCAAGTGTCCATCAACATGAATGGATAGATAAACTGTGGTACAGGCATACAATGGAATATTATTCTACCATGAAAAGAATGACGTTCTGATACATGAATGACCCTTGAAGACCTTGTGCTAATTGAAATAAGCCAGACACAAGAAGACAAATGTATGCTTCCACTTACACGAAATATCACGAATAGGCAAAGTCATAGAGACAGAAAGTACATTAGACGTTAGCAGAGGCTGGGGGGGTGGGGTTATGGGGAATTATTAATAGGAGTCCCTGGGTGATGCAGAGGGTTCAGTGCGGGACTACTGTATTTTTATGCAAACAACTCACACCTTCTATGTTTGTTTGCCAACCTCGACCTCCCCCACGAGGTATTTTCATAAGCATGCTATGCTAATTTTTTTTTTTTTTTTACAGCAACATGTAAAAAAATTGGCATAGTGTTGCTTATGAAAATACCTCTGGGGGAGGGTGTGGTTGGCAAACGTAGAAGGTACGTGTTATTTGTGTAAAAATACAGCACTAGCTCAAAGGTTGGTGGTTCAAACCCACCCAGAGGCTCCTCAGAAGACAGGCCTGGTGATCTGCTGCCAAAAGATTAAAAAAAAAAAAACCCCAAACCCATTGCCATTGACTCGATTCTGACTCACAGCGACCCTATAGGACAGAGTAGAACTGCCCCCACGGAGTTTCCAAGGCTGTAAACCTTTACCAAAGCAGACTGCCACATCTTTCTCCTGCAGAGCAGCTGGTAGGTTCAAACTGCCGACCTTTCAGTTAGCCTACGGTGCTTAGTTAAGCACAGCGCCACCCTTGAAAACCCTATGGAGCAATTCTCCTCTGCACTCATGGGATCTCTGTGGGTTGGAATTGACTGGGTGGTTAAGTAAGAACAACATTGTTTAATGGGTGCAGAGCTTCTGTTTGGGGTGATGAAAAAGTTTCGGAAAGAAACAGTGGTGAAAGCTGCATTATGAATGTAATCAGTGCCACTGAATCGTACACTTAAAAATGGTTAAAATGGCAAATTTTATGTTACACATATTTTATCACCATAAATTTTTAAAAATGTAGAGTTCTGTATAATCCAGCATGAAACACATCAGGACCTATTGCTAAGTCAAAGCAAATAAAAAGCCAGACAGCGTCTAGAATGTTTTATGCATGGGATGTCTCTGAGCAGTATACGAGGCACCATCAAGACAATTTAATATGGGCAAGGGACAATTGGTAAATATGGGTGAGTTAAGGGAGAATTCGTTTTTACTATGTAAACTTTTGTACTGAATTGTTTTTAACTTGCTCATGTATATATTATTTTTAAAATGAAATAAAAAGTGGGAGTGAAAATGTGTCTGTATGACGAACACTGGAACATTATTTACAAAAGAAGCGCAGGTCCTGCTTGTAAGAAACCCCATAAACCCCTGGCAGCAGAGGCAACAGTGCTGGCTTAGGGGGCTAGACATACCCTGAAAAGGGCCCCTGAAGTACATTCTGTAGAAAGCTATGGAGCAAAATGAGGTACAAAGGCAGGACCAAAACAAAAACCAAACCCGTTGCTGTCGAGTCGGTTCTGACTCATAGTGACCCTATAGGACAGAATAGAACTGCTCCATAGAGTTTCCAGGGAGCGCCTGGTGGATTCAAACAGCCGACGTTTTGGTTAGCAGCCGTAGCACTGAACCACTGTGCCGCCAGGGTTTGGAGGAAGGGCTTCTTAGTTATCCCCTGAGATAGCTATGAAGAGGAAGACCTCAGAAACTTTGCTTTGTGGGGAGAAAGAAACAGAGAAAGGTGGGTGAGGGAATGAAAGAGCGAGAGAGAATCCCCAAGCCCACAGGGCCAGCCACTCCCTGCCCCCAGACATCCTCTCGGCATGCCCCAGACAGCGCCTCCTTTTCTCACCTGAATGTCACCCTAGCACTTAGCTTCCTTGGAGCCTCTCAGTTTCAATAACTACACCCACTTTACTAATAAGACAAAATGTACACATGGAAAAGCCCGTAAGCTGGAATTTGGGGGGACTTCCAAAGTTTCCAGCTGTGGGATATTCCCTACGGAAGGAACCCCAGAAGAGACAAACCCCAGAAGAAAGGATGGAATGCTGCACCTGAGGCCACGTCCTCCTAGATGCTACTGCAGATACCATCGCAGCCACCAAGGATCTCAGAAAAATTCGTGAGTGGCCAAGAGTATTAAGGAAATACTGTTGAGTGCAGTTGATTACTTTTGTGTGGCCTTCCTCACCATAGCCTCGTAACTCCCACCCAGGTGATTGGGTGGGACTGTGCAGATAAGGTACTTGTGGCCCACTGAAGGGATTGGTTGGTTTTGCCATCCAGCTGGGTTTGAGGTGAGCCATCCCAGAGGCAGGAAGGAGAGGATCCCACCACCACCAGGGAAGAAACAGGCTGTTTGAGGAGCGGTGGCAGAGAGGTGATGGCAGGAGAGACTGCAGAAGGTAGCACAGGGGGCTTCTTGGCCCACAGAGCCAGGTGGCTACAGTGGTGTGCTGACCATGGAGCAAGACAGCTGAATGCCTTTGGGCTGAGGTTTACTTGCGGAGTAGGGTGCCCCCGGGCACTTATTGGCAGAGCTAAAGAGCTTAGTAACACTTGCCAGAGCAGGGCGGAGGCTGGTCCGAGGGACTGAGGGCCAGAGAAGGGCCTGCCTGCGGGCACAGCTGAGAAGAGGCTGTCCTGATTGAAGAACTGTATCCTGAATTGTAACCTGTTACTTGCCTAATAAACCCCACAACTGTGAGTGTTCTCTTTGAGTTCTGTGTGGCCACTGCAAAGAATTACCGAACCCAGCAGAGGAGTAGAGAGAGCCGTGGGAGGGACAGCTGGTGTCATAATTGGTAAAGAGGTTGGAGAGAGAAGGCATGTTTGACCTCTACCTCATAGGAGTCAGCCTTGGGCTGTTGATCTTTATTCTCCTCCCCCTTGTGAAGTTAGAGGAGATCAGACGTCCATGAGCCACCACGCAATTTTTACAGGCGAGTTCCTGTCATAGCCTGAGCACAGCCCTCTAATTTTGGTTGGATTCCCTTTTAAAACCATTTTCTGCCATTTCTTTGGAGACTTAGGGTGGAAGATTGGGGTGAATTAAAAGATGGGATGCCTGTGCTTAATTTGTCAGCTTTGAATCAGAATTCTATCATTCTGTTCAATTTCTGTATCTCTCATAGTTGGAAAAACAGGACCACCATGGTTTACATTGCATTTTCTTACAGCTTTATTGAGATATAAATGACATGTAATAAACTGCATGTATTCAAAGCATACAGTTTGATGATATTTGTCATAAGCCTTTCCGAGGAACTCCTGAGTCCCTCTGCCTGAGGCCGCATCTCAATTCACATGCCACTTCTCCTTCCAGGAAGCCAGACACAGCCCAAAGCCTCGGGCTGCCCTCCAAGTCAGCAGTCTTAGCTGCCATTCAGCTTTTTCCCTGTGCTGTTTCCTGTCTCCATCCTGCTGGCTCAGGAGGCCAGGTTTCCAGCAGGACAGATGATAAAGATTTTATGACTGGCCCATGATGTGGGTACGTTTGCCGCATTTTAATAGATTTTAAAAATTTATTATAGGGAGGGAGGGAGTTTGGTTTCCAAAAATATTTTTTTATTCTTAAATTATTAATTTTAAAGGTTAAAATTGAGAATCGAGACTAAGTCCTAAATATTTTTTGGGAATTGCTGCAACTCATGGTAAAACAGTAAAAACAATACATAGCAGTGCATCTTCGCGGCAATCCCTCCGCTCTGAGGCGTCCCCATTCAGGGTGTGTGAGCCGCATTCCATGTGTTGCTTTCTGCTGATCTTCAGATACTACCAGGTACCTGGAGCTTGTCAGGTAAATGTGCTTGACAGTAGACCTCTCTTATATTCTGCGGCCTTTTCTTTATGAAAAAACTGTCCTTCCTGTTAAACGGGTAACAATGAACAGGTTCTTCGCAAGAGTAAGAGGCCTGGGGATCAGTGAGCCCACCCACCTGGGAATTCATCTAGAAGTAGGGAGGTGCAGCTGGAGAGGGGGAGGCAAGGGCCACAATCCCTGGCTTCAGGGTCTGAAGTTGGGCGTTCGATGAGGGGAAGC